TCTGTCCCGGATGGTATTGGGGTTTCGCAGCTCTTCTTGTGTATGACTATGTCTCCTTGCGTCGTCCTATGTCTCCAAAGAGTCTTCTGCAGATGGATGTGAGCTGAGTTCCAGACCCACTCGCTCTCCTGGAACCAATGGTTGACAGCTGACGTCGAAAGGTGCAAGGAGATGTATGAACCATGAGTCCATGAGGATTGGCAAAGGGCAGTTAGAACTTATGTCCATCCCTCAGGACCCCCGGCAGAGCTGGCTCTGATTGCTTGGCCTTAGCGATCTGGTCATCGAGGGACCATTAAATGGACTGTCTGAATTATGCATACTAGAGGTCAATCGGCCGATTTTTGGAATTTTTTAACATAATCGGCATCGGCCAATATCCCAGTATATCAAGCCGATTATTAGGCAGGCGCATCTGTGGGCAGCCTTGTGTTGCCGTGCTTGACGCGCGCTGCCGCTATAGTCATTTTCCAGCCGAGTGAGCAGCAGACCTCATCCAGTGCCCAAGAAGCTAACGGCAATGATTCAGTTCGTATAACTCCCTTATATTTAATTAAAAACTTTTGATATGTTACTGCCAACGTTGAGAAAAAACCTGAATAAACGACCAGGCATTCGGCTACTTTGGATCGTAGATGAAGTTGCATTATCACAGAAGAGTGGCTCTCATGTCACAATAAATAAGCAATAATTTTGCAATTACAGAGTGAATCTGAGACTTTTATTTGTTCTGTTTGTGTGTCTTATATTTGAGAGGGTTGTCACTCAAAGCAGAGAAATAAGTAATAAAAAAGAGACCAACGCACTATAGGCTAGTGACAGGCTGGCTTTGCTTTGCTAGCGGGTAGCTACAGACAGACTCGGTGCTAATACAGCACTGGAACCTTAACCACCGTTATCTTCCGCAACGAATATCAACACGGATTTCTGTGCTTCAGTTTGGTGCTACTGTTATGCCAGTGCTTCTCTCGGATGCTCAGAAAACGGACGTTAGAATAACAGAAACATCGCTTTACTCACCGTTAACAGTGTTGGGAAAGTTCGCTTTCTACATGAACTAGTTCAAAGTTCAGTTCACACATTTTTAAAATTAACTAGTTCATTCATAGTTCTTTTTCCATATGTTGCATGCAAGCTTTATTATTATTATTATTATTTATTATTTCCACAGCCCATATACAAACACAGACAACAATTATTTTATCAACGGGCAAAGTTATGTAAGATTATGTAAGATTTTAGATACTGGTGGCTGGTGTTGCCAGATTGGGGGTTTTTTCACTACATATTAAGGCCTGTTTACAGATGTTTTAGCCGGGTTTTCGCCTGGAGGGCTCTATATAAATCTGGCACCCTATTGCAGAGAGAGCGCGTTCACAGACACCAGAATGAACTAGGTAACGTTCATCAGCCAGTAATGGGCTATATCAGTGTTTCTCAAAGTGGGTGCCGCGGCACACTGGGGTGCCCCCTGACTGTGACTGGGGTGCCGCCAAAAAATTACGTAGGCTAAAAAAAAAAAAAAAAAAAATTAAAAAAAAGGACATTTCATATATAAATATATTTTAATTTACATAAATACATTCTTCTTTTTAAACATATGAATGTAATAATAAAATTGTAAATTCATTAAGATCAATATATTAAATTAAGCATAAAAAATCAGTCTCGCAAGGCACACACACACACAACTTGACGCAAGTGACGCAATCCATTGCAACGCGTTATAGCAACAACAGACTGACAGAAAATAAACGTAAATTTAGGCCTCTTTAGTGACCGCATCATGGATCGTTTTTGAAACGAAAAGCCCCACAAAAACGGACAGTTCTTACAGTGAAATGGAGCCTCAGCCTACTACTTCCTCCACCAGCGCTGAGTCGGCACCAAAGATCGCAAAGGTAACGTCAGACAAGGCTAAAATCAGAACATACAACGACAGTTACCTCAAATTTGGCTTCATCAGTACGGGGGATGCAACATGCCCTCTCCCTTTGTGTCTAATATGCGGGATGAAACTGTCAAACCAAGGGATGGTTCCGAGCAAACTTAAAAGACACCTGACCACCAATCATCCATCACTTGCTGACAAGGATCCTGAATATTTTGTTAGGATGAAAAGTCAACAAAGCCGTCAAGAACAAATGATGATTAAATCCGCTAAAGTCTCGGAGAGGGCACTGGAAGCTAGCTACCTTGTAGCTGAAATAATAGCTAAAACAAAGACGCCTCACACTATTGCAGAAACTGTAATTATGCCATCATGTACAGCATTAGTGAACAAAATGCTAGGGCCTCAAGCTGCAAAAGAAATCTCAAAGGTCCCGCTGTCGGATTGTACAATAGGGAGGCGAATCAATGACATGTCTGTGGACATTGAAGATGTCGTTTTGGGGAAAATCAAGACAAGTGGACATTTTTCTTTACAAATTGATGAGTCAACGGACGTGAGTGGGCACGCTCAGCTGTTAGCAAATGTTCGGTTTGTGGATGGGGACCGTATTAGAGAGAATTTTTTATTTTGCAAACCGCTGCCAAACAAAACAACAGGGGAAGAAATTTATCGTGTAACAAATGAGTATCTTGAAAAGGGAGGATTGAGTTGGAAAAACTGTATTAGTATCTGTACTGATGGTGCAGCTGCAATGACGGGCTGTGCCAAAGGTTTCATTAGCAGGGCAAAGCAGCAAAACCCTGACATCCGAACAACCCACTGCTTCCTTCACAGAGAGGCACTTGCTGCAAAGACACTACCAAAAGAACTTTCGGACGTGCTTGACAGAGCAGTGGACATTGTTAATTTCATAAAGGCGCGCCCGTTAAAGAGCCGTCTGTTTTCGATTCTGTGCGAGGAAATGGGGGCAGAGCACCAGAGCTTGTTGCTACACACGGCAGTCCGCTGGCTGTCACGGGGGAAGGTTTTGGGCCGATTGTGCGAGTTAAGAGAAGAACTCAGAGTTTTCTTGACAGAAGAAAAATCTGCATATGCAGAGCTGCTTGCAGATGAGCAATGGTGCCTAAAACTCGCGTATTTGGCTGACATCTTTAAGCACCTCAATGAGCTTAACATTAAAATGCAAGGCAAAGAAGAAAACCTCCTCTCCTCATCTGACAAACTGCGTGGCTTCAGATCTAAGCTCACGCTCTGGCGTTCCTTTGTGGGACAGGGCAGGCTGGATATGTTTCCCCTGTGCAATGTGCATGTAAACAGCAGTACACTTTCTGATCTCATAATCCAGCATCTGAAATCTCTCGATGAGCGATTTAATCATTATTTTCCATCAGAGTCTTATGCACAGTTTGACTGGGTCCGTGATCCTTGGAGTTCACGCGCGCTGGAGAGCGCAAAGGACTGGCCACTGTCCACACAGGAGCAACTGATGGAGATCAGGGAAGACCGCACATTGAAACTGAGATTTGGTGACTTGGAATTGGACAAGTTTTGGATTTCAGTGAAAGAAGAGTATCCAGTGGCTTCAAGTAGCGCTGTTGCTATTTTGCTACCCTTTTCCACAACTTATCTGTGTGAACTGAGCTTTTCAACCCTGACGTACATCAAGAACAAGTACAGGGAGCGACTGAGGACTGTGGACCAGGAGCTCCGTGTCTGCCTCTCATCCATCCCTGCCAGGATAGGGCGGCTGTGCGCGTCGCACCAGGCTCACGTCTCTCATTGATTGCGGTCACCCCCACCCCCGGCTTGTGTGAGCGCGTATGCCCGCTGCGTGCGCGCATGTAGATATTTCTCCCTCTCTCGTTGTGGATTATTGTTTGTGTGGGTGTGTGTGCATGCGCATGGCACGGATGAAAACAATATGGAAAAAAACATTCCTGCTCATCTCTGGTGCATTTTTTAACATGCATCTTTTTCTTATGGTATTGTGTATATATATATTTTTTTTTTCATGTCTGCCCCTTTTTATTTTATTTTAACTGCATCCTGCACTTCATTTTAGTTCTCCAGGTCTGGATTTGTTGTTGGGTTCTTGTATTGGGCGGTCTACCATACGGTTTTATGGCATTTGTGTCTCTGATTAATTATTTTGTGAATTATTTTGCAAACCTGTGTTTTAAAAGGTGCTATAAAGTTGTTAATTATTATTGTTATTTACAGTTCATATTATGCTCTGTTCATTTCTGTCTAAATAAACAGGACATTTGCATTTACATTTGGGTTATGTAGTGTTTTTAAATTATATTTTACACTGGGGTGCCTTGAGATTTTATGCACTTTTGAAAGGTGCCCTGACTGAAAAAAGTTTGAGAAAGGCTATATGCACGCATAAATTCCGCATTTGACGCAAGGATGCTCGTCCATTTCCGGTTGTGGAGATTAAAGCGGAGGAAAACCGAGGAAAACGGGATTATGGCAGAGTCTTCAAAATGTACTGTCCTCCAGTCTTTGAAATGAAACGTACATACGTTTAGATGTAATTTTATATATAGTTACATTTATTTAATATAATTTTAAAAAGAAGCATAAACACAACGAGGGGTGTCTGTTTTATCTGTTTTTGTGACTAACGTTTCTTTAGTATAACCATGGAGTATAAAATTCAATATAAATTCTCAACATGGTTGCTTTATGGTACAGAGCAGAGTTTATCTCAAAATATTATTCAGGTTTTCACTGCTGAATAAGTTGGTCCTCTGTCTAACTTATTTCAACTTAGCCTAGCTAGTGTTTAACTGGGTCATCAGCTGGTTTCTCCAGCAAATTATTCTGAGGTCATTTTCAACCAGCGAATTAGTAACCAAATCCCCTCTAAAACCAACCAAACGACAAGCTTGAGGCTGTTTTTTTTTTTTTTTTTTTTTTTGCTCATGGTAATATAACATGTGTATATATAGAAAGTTAATTGAAAGTTAAAGTATAATCCTTTCAACAAGATTATAAGATTGTATCTGTTATTGAATAACCTAGATCAGACCACTACTACTAGACCACAATTATGTACTTTTCATCTAAAATGATTATATTTCACATGCTGTAGAACCTGGACAGACAGTCATCAGCATCTATGTGCAGTCTAGACTCAGGCTGTGAGTTGGTGAAGCCAGTTAAAGGCGAGAGTGCTCTACAGAGGGTGCTGGCCATCACTGGGAATGAGTTCTGCTGTGACTGTAGCCAGAGTGATCCTCGCTGGGCTAGCATCAACCTTGGCATCACACTCTGTATTGAGTGCTCAGGCATTCACAGGTACTATCACAGTGTTTATATATGAGATCTGCATGTGGTCCACTAAAGTAAAGACTACTGTACAGTTGTTTTAGAGACTGTTTGTTTGGAATGCAACACTGCTTACTGCTGCTTAAAAGTTAACTAACTAAATCTCACTCTTTTTTAAAGTTAAGGAAATTTAATAGACAATTAAAAATGTATGAATGTCATTGCAGAATACTAACAAAATATCAGTCCAAGAATTTGTTTTAAATAATAATTGCTTGTCTAACACCCGTTTCACACATACTCCGTGTGCAGTTCCTGTTGTGGCGCGTACTATGCAGTACAGGAGCAGCACACGCTATAGTGCTTGCATATATGCTGCATTTGCAGTGTGTAACTGATCCGCGGATGTAGGCTACCACAAACATACCCACTATTTTTATTTCAAATCCAGAAGTTATGCAACAACTTTTATAAAAAAAAAGTTTTGTCAGAATTGCGATTCTCTTTACACACATATACAAACTTGAATGGACGTATGCATGTTTAGACACAATTTAATAAATGGAGGTTGGAGCAGGCTTCACTCAAAGTTTATATCTCAAATTGTTTTAAGAGTGCTGGCCTAATAATGACAATGCATGTATGGAAGAGAGAGGCCGCACTTTGCATATACAGTTTTATTATACACAAACGCGTTTCGGCGCGTGCCTTCTTCAGTGTGCCTTTTTTTTAAAGCCTTGAGACGAATAGTCCTAAAGAACTTAAACATTTCTATTTTAGTCACAAAAGGGTCATTTCCCTTTACGGGTACAAATGAAAGACCTTTGGATAAAACAGAAAGTTGATCTTGACTTAGCTGTTTTGTTGAAATATTGATGACACTGTCGTTTATCTCTGTCCTCTTGCGCTTCTTGGCACACTGAAGAAGGCACGCGCCGAAACGCGTTTGTGTATAATAAAACTGTATATGCAAAGTGCGGCCTCTCTCTTCCATACATGCATAGACACAATTTAAACAATATAGGCCTATAATTCCATGCATTATTTCTATATTAAGTTGCTCAAGCAAGTGGTCAAATATTTAACCATTAAAATCGCAAACATTTTAAATTAAAACTTAAAATTGACAAAAACAGCCGACTCTCATGCCTTTACTTTTGCATTTAAATTTTAATGCAATAAATCTTGCATGTCACAAAGAACTTGTTTTTCCACCTCCACAAATGAGGCGAGTGTCGTTTATTATGTCTATAGCTAAGCTACGCTGCCGCAGTTTCTTAACAAATTACGGGAGCTAGCTTGGGAGTCACTCTGCTGTTCCGCAAGACCCGTTCAGTGGACATTGGATAACACTGGGAAAGCGTGACCTAAAGGGAAGGGAACGCTGCGGAAGCCTGATGAAGGCCTGGAACACACACATGTACTAGCCCATAGGGATAGTGAAACATGTGGCAGTCCCCGAGGTAGTCCCAATCCAAGGGAAGTGGGAGCGTACTCAACAGGGACAACAGAACAAGTCTGTCAAGGCGAAGACACGGCTGAACTGCATGTGGCATTATGGGTCACCGAAGGGATCACTGAACAAAACACCCAGTCTACAAACAACTCCTTTAGAGGTAGCTGACCTGATGCCGAGGTCCGTAGCAAGCCGACACAACCTATTCCCTCGCACCACTGGCCATAGCGAGTACTCAGGAGGAAACAGGTTCTACACATGGGCTATAGAACCATGCAAACGTGTTCGGTGTCGCCCAGCCCGCAGCTCTACAAATGTCTATCAGCAAGGTACCTTGAGCCAAAGCCCAGGAAGCAGCAACACCTCTAGTAGAGTGAGTGTGCAATCTGGGAGGACAAGGCTCACCCACAGCTTCATCCACTAACCAGTGAGCTAACCTCTGCTTGGAGACAGCCTTCCCCTTCTGCTGGCCTCCGTAACAGACAAAGAGCTGATCTGAGGTCCTGAAGCTTTGCGTTCTGTCAATGTAACGTTCTGTCTAGGCACGATTCGTCGACCAAAAAAGCCTGCAGATCCCCAACCTTCTTGAAAGAGGCCAATGCCAACAGTAACGCTGTCTTAATGGACAGGATGTTTAGCTCCACCTTCAGAAAAGGCTCAAAGGGAGGACTTTGAAGAGCTTTCAGTACCAGAGCTAGGTCCCAAGAGGGTACAGAGTGCAAAACCCGAGGTCCTAGCACCTTTAAGGAATCTGATGATCAGATTGTGCTTCCCCACGGACTTACCTTCTACTACATCGTGATGAGCGTCTATTGTAGCAACATACACTATGAGGCTGGAGGGAGACAGCCTTCGCTCCAACCCATCTTGTAGGAAGGAAAGCACGACTCTGATCGGGCAAGTTCGTGGGTCCTCCTGGTGAGAGGAACATCACTCAACGAATAGGTTCCACTTCAACGCATAGAGATGCCTCGTAGAGGGGGCTCTAGCAGAAGTGATGGTGTCTACCACTGCCTGTGGTAGACCACCTAGAACCTCCGTGTCCCATCCAGGGACCAGACGGTCCAGAGGTCTGGACGTGGGTGCCATAGAGTGCCCCATCTCTGAGAAAGGAGGTCCTTCCTCAGAGGAATCGGCTGTGGAGGGGCTGTCATGAGGAGCATGAGTTCCGTGAACCAAGTTCTGGTGGGCCAATACACAAATGGGAAATGCATACTTGTGCAGGTCCCGGGGCCAGCTGTGAGCCAGGGCTTCCGTGCCAAGGGTCCCCTCGGACAGGGAGTAAAACCACTGGCAATGGGTCGTGTCCAGAGAGGCAAACAGGTCCACCTGTGCAACTCCGAAAACACTCCAAATCAGCTGAACTGCCTGGGGATGGAGTTGCCATTCTCCTGGCAGGGGAGGCAACCATGAAAGCTCGTTTGCCACACGGTTGAGCTCCCATGGAACATGAGTGGCACGAAGCGACCTCAGATGTTTCTGATTTCATAGGAGGAGGTGGGAGGCGAGTCGCAACATGCGGCGAAAGCGTAGACCACCTTGTCGGTTGATGTACAAAACTGTCGCAGTGCTGTCCGTACAGACCAGTACGTGTTTGTGAAGCCCCTTGAGGCAACACAAGGCTAAGCATACTGCTTGCAACTCCAGGCAGTTGATGTGCCAATTCAGATGGGGCCCCTAGGGGCACTCCGGGCCGAAGAAACGCAGGATCCAACCATGGGGAGAAGGTTTGGCGACAGTGCGGGGTTACTTTGACCCGGGACGTGTCGCTCTGCCATGCCCACCTCAGGACTCGATCGTAATGGCAGTGCTGAAGCGGTCTCATTACTACTGGCGTTACTGCGGCTGCGGCTTCCATATCCCCCAGGAGCCTCTGAAATTGTTTTAGTGGAACCGCTGTCCTGCCTCGAAAGGACTTGAGGCAGGTGAGCACTGACTGGACGCGTTCCTCCATGAGGCACGCCGTCTGGGCGACTGAGTCCAACTCCATACCGAGATAAGAGATCCTTTGCACGGGGCAGAGTTTGCTCTTGTCCCAGTTGACCTGAAGCCCCAACCGGCTGAGGTGCCGTAGCACCATGTCCCTGTGATTGTACAACACATCTCGCGAGAAAGCCAGAATGAGCCAGTTGTCGAGATAGTTGAGAATGTTACTGCCATGTTCTCTCATTGGAACAATGGCCGCCTCCGCAACTTTTGTGAAGACGCGGGGCGACAGGGCCAACCCGAAGGGTAGGACTTTGGACTGATACGCTCGACCCTCGAAAGCAAACCGAAGAAAAGGTCTGTGTCGAGGAAGAGTCGAGACGTGAAAATATGCATCCTTCAGGTCGATCACTGCAAACCAATCCTGGGGACGGATGCAATCGAAAATGCGTTTGAACGGGAGTTTGTGCAGGGCCCAGATGCAAAACTCGCAGGTCCAGAATGGGCTGTAACCCCCGCTTTTCTTGGGTACAATGAAGTAGGGGCTGTAAAACCCGGACCTCATCTCGGCAGGAGGGGCTGGCTCGATCGCGTCCTTCGCCAGCAGAACATCGATCTCTTTACGCAAGACAGGGCGTCCACTGACCGCACACGGGTGAAGTGGACGCCCTAGAACCTGGGAGGCCGCCGCGCAAACTGAATTGCATAGCCAAACCAAATGGTGCGTATCACTCCCTCCAGGAAATAAACGAGACCATGGTTCTGGTTACTGATGGATTTATTACAGTTGTCATCTTTCTCTCCTTCGTCACATTCACCATCAAAATCCACCGTCAAACTACAGTATGACAATGCACAAGATAAACACATTCACAAATATTAGAAAGAAGTAAATACAAAAACACTTCGGGAATATGAACATAATACACATACCTCGCTGGCTGCATTTAACCCAGAAGGAATGAGTTCACTTGAAACACCCGGCTCAAAAGGAAAACACAAAAAGCATATTTACTTTTATCTCAGAAAAACGTGTAAAACTTCTATTCCACACGCAGAGAATAACTTCTGACCAAAGTCCGTTCTTTCCTGTTGCATCTCAAAAAAGCGTCCGTGTGCAACACACCTTAAAATTAACGCACTTTAGTTCCCAGTCAACATAAACACTCAACATTCACGAATAGATTAAGCAAACATAACAAAAAACATGTTCAATAACAGAAATAATATGTATGGCAGTTATACTCCCACCAAATGACTATTTTGTCATTTCACCTCACAATTCAAACCCTTTCACACTTTAATTTAACCATACAATAAACCTTAAACCTTACAGTAACATAAAATACTGTTTTTCGTGAAATGGTAACCATAACCTTTAGTCTGCTTCAAGCAGTAAAACTGTCTTTTGTACAGGCCTATCAAGGTAGACTGGTCTGGAATTACGTCTTCCCTGGCTGTCTAAGGTCGAGTCACTAATTAACAGTTTCACCTTTCGAACCTTTCCATCAGTGCTCGGATACACCTCTGTCACCCTTGCCAATCTCCCTTGGTTACGTGGAGAACTGTCCTCCTGCAGGATGACAATGTCGTCAACCTTCGTATTTCTCTTCTCTTTCTGCCATATTTGTCTTTGCTGAAGATTAAGGAGATACTCCTTCTTCCACCTTGTCCAAAATTCGTTTGCCAAAAACTGCACCTGGCGCCATCTCTTGCGCAAGTATACATCCTGACTCACAAACTCTCCTGGAGGTGGGAATATTATGTTAGACTTCATCATAAGAATGTGATTAGGCGTGAGAGGTTCAAGGCTTGTTGGGTCATTTAAATGCTCAGTTGTGAGAGGTCTGCTATTTATAATAGCCATCACTTCATACAGAAAGGTTCTCAACGAGGTACTGTCGAGTCGTTGAGAAGACTGATCAAGGATTGCGCTTAAAACACTTCTGATCGTCCTTATCTGTCTTTCCCATACACCTCCCATGTGGCTCGATGATGGGAAGTTCATTACGAACTCGCTTTAACTGTTCATGATCCAAGTTTTTCATTGCCTTCATGAGCTCTCCTTTTGCACCAACAAAGTTTGTGCCTTGATCACATCTCAACTGTCTTACATGTCCGCGTATTGTGATGAAAACACGTAATGCATTGATAAAGGCATCAGTAGTGAGGTCATCAAGCATTTCGATATGTATGGCTCTAGAACACATACAGGTGAAAAGAAGACCATATTTCTTTAGTTCCTTTCTTGCTTCCTTCACATAGAACGGTCCAAAGCAATCCATGCCACAATATGTGAAAGGAGGTGTCATTTCCATTCTTTCTTCTGGCAAATCTGCCATTTTTGGATCTTGTGTGCTCCTTCTGTACTTTCTGCATGTTGTGCACTTGTAAATATGTGAGGCAACTGCACTGCTGCATCCTATGACCCATACTCCATTGGATCGCAATTCATTGGCAGTTATTCCTCTTCCTTGATGCTGCACCTTTTCATGGTAGTACTTAATAAGCAACGATGATACATGACTCTTATTTGGCACAATGGCAGGATGCTTGACATGTGGATGAAGAACAGATCTTGCCAAACGTCCTCCAACCCCTAAGCACACCATGTTCATCTACAAACGGACTCAGTTTGTGTAGTTTGTCTTTGGGTTTTACTTCCTTGCCTTGCGTTATACCTCTAATTTCACTGCCGAATGCTTCCCTCTGAACCAACTTGATTATAAACAGCTCTGCTTCCCGTCTCTCCTCAAGACTTGTTGCTCCACTTACTTTATCTTTGATGCCCTTGATCTGCTTAGCATGGCGCTTTAGAAGAGCAATAGCCTTGACAGCTCTTTTCCAGTCAGAGAATTTTGTTAGGCGTTCTAACAATGACCTCTCCTTCCTCACCTTGGTGTTGAGCACCAGGGCCTTCCGAAGTTCCGGATCATCATCATAAACTTCTCCCACCATAACATCTCCTCTGGGTAGCTCCTTTTCCCATAAAAAATCTGGGCCAGTGAACCAGTTTGAAGCAAGAAGCTGATCTGCGGAGACACCTCTCGACGCATGATCCGCAGGATTATCTTCAGACCTTACAAAGTGCCATTGTTTAGGATCTGTAGTGGACTTGATTCGTTGGACTCTGTTCGCCACGAACACATGAAACCTCCTGGCATCATTGTTTATATAGCCTAGGACGACCTTCGAGTCAGTCCAAAAATGTTCTTGAAGACCCTCTATTTCAAGCTCATTTCTAAGCATAACACTTATTCTTGCTGCCACAACTGCAGCCGACAACTCAAGCCGTGGCACTGTGGTTACCTTGGTAGGAGCAACCCGTGCTTTTCCCATGACAAGCGTGCAGTGAACATCTCCGTTGACGTCGACTGCTCTGAGGTAAGTACATTCACCATAACCGATGACACTTGCATCTGAGAAGTGGTGAAGTTCGTACTGCTTGACATCCTTGAAGTTATCTGGGATATAGCACCTTCTGATCCTTACATTAGATAAGTTTCGAAGATCTTGTAGCCAGATTTCCCACTGTGCACTCAGCTCTTGTGGAAGTGGCTCATCCCAAGTTACTTTGTCTCGACACAGTTGTTGTAGAATCTGCTTTCCACGGAGAATAAAAGGTGCTACAAACCCCAATGGATCGTAAATGGACGCTACTCTAGACAGTACACCTCTTCTGGTATTTGGGTGTTCCTTGACAGTCACTCTGAATTGGAAGTCATCAGAGGATACACACCATTGAACGCCAAGAGCTCTTTCCATGAGTGGCTCACCTAAACCCATATCCATTTCCTTGACACTTTCAGCACACTCATCCTTTGGTATTGATTTCATTACCTCCTTACTGTTGGAGATAAATTTGTGAAGTCTAAGTTTGCCTGTGCTGCAAAGGTCTCTCGCCTCCTTAATCAGTTGGATTGCTTCAGCATCAGATGTTGCGCACACCAGTCCGTCATCAACATAAAAATTCCTTTGGATGAACTTAACAGTGCTTGGGTTAAATTTATCCTGACCTTGAGCGGCTAGATGCTTAAGTCCGAAATTGGCACATCCAGGTGAGGAGGCTGCCCCAAATAGGTGGACCTTCATCCGAAAAATTGAGGGTGGAGAATCTAGGTCACCGTTCTCCCACCATAAGAACCTGAGGTAGTCTTGGTGTTCAGGCCTTACATGGAATTGATGAAACATTTTCTCCACGTCACACATGATGGCAATCGGGCCTTTGCGAAACCTACAAAGGACTCCCACCAAGGTGTTTGTGAGCTCTGGACCAGTAAGAAGTTGATCATTCAGTGACGTTTCTTGGAACCTTGCTGAGCAATCAAAGACCACTCGTATCTTCCCAGGCTTTTGAGGGTGGTATACGCCATGGTGGGGAATATACCAGACTGGTTGATTGTCAAGCTCTTCTTCAGGGACCTTTTCGGCGTCACCACGAGCAATGATGTCCTTCATAAACCCCAAGTAGTCAGTGCAGTATTGCTGGTCTCTCCTGAGCTTTCGTTCCAAGGACATTAGGCGTTGAACAGCACATGATTTATTGTTTGGTAGATTTGGTTTCTCTTGTTTAAAAGGTAAAGGCATTTCAAAATGGCCGTCTTGCTTCTGTCTGATTCCGTCTTTCAGTTTAGTCAAGAAGTGAAGATCTTCTTGAGAGAGGGTTGTCTCTTCTCCACCTCTCTCACTGAAATCAGATTCCAACATCTTAATTATGTCATCTGGAGTGACCATTTCACTGACCTGGGTATGGCAAACATAGTGTACTTCTCCTTTAAGCTGGACCATTGCATTCACTTCAGGCATGACTTGTTTTACGATGATGCGGTGACTTACTCCAATTGCATCACCGTAGTGTTCCCCTGGGTCACCATAACTCACTATGCTCCAACCTAAGTCAGTCTTCTGAGCAAATGGCTGGCTTTCCTCTCCACAAACTACTTCTCGTGGCATTAGAGCTTGTGGGCAATTGTACCCAATCAACAGACCAATTTCACAATCCTTCTGAGGTGCAATGTAGTCGGCAAGATGCTCCAAATGAGGCCATGCCTTTGCTGTCTCAGGCACTGGGATATGTGAGCGATTAGCAGGGATGAAGTCACGAGTGTAAACTGTGGGCACTGTTAACTTCTTGGAGGAAAATAGGCCCCTAACTTGTAGGCTATTAAGTCTTTTACAGTGAATGATTGTCCCCTTTGACGACATTGTAGATAGTTTTAACTTCACTTGTTCAGTGTTTGTATCAAGAACACCTGCCACTTCATCAAGAATGAATGAAGAGTCACTCTGTGAATCTAACAGAGCATAGACGAGAACTTCCTTGTCTGGATCACTTGGCGTTGATACATAGACAGGTACTATTGCAGATGTCTGTGTACTGTTAGTATCTTGTACAACTCTGTTAGAGGTTGTTTCCTTTGTGACGTCTTGTGGGTGAATTCCTTCCTTAGATCGTTCTTTCTTTAGTTCTTGGGCCCCCTTTAAACGTTCTTCATGCAGGCATGTGGGATGCCTCTTTGAGCAAGAATCGCAGACCATCCGGTTACTGCAGCTCTTAGACTGGTGACCAGGGCTTAAACAGCCGAAGCACAGTTTTTCACTTTGCATAAATTTAATGCGGTCAGCAACTGGCTTCTCTCTTAATTTGTAGCACTTGTGTAAGCTGTGACCTGTTTTCTTACAAAACACACATGTGACTATTTTCCTTTCACTGGTGTTGTGAAGATCTTGGCACCTATGGTTTGGTTCTTGGAGGTCATAATGTTCTGGCTCCTGCTCTTTGCTTTATCCAACTCACTTTGTCGTAATGCATGGAAGGATGTAATGGGGTTGCAGACGATGCTTGCCTCCATTGAAAGGAACGTCACAAAATAACTGAAGTTTGGAAACCTTCCGTGTTCAAGTTGATATTGTGTGGCCTTTCGGTTCCATCTGGAGCTTAACCAGTCGGGTAACTTGGCAGTAAGTTTTTGATTCTCAATTCCATCATTAAGAATGTGGAGATTGTCATTGTTAGCCATAGCACTTTCACAACTGCGTAAAAGGTCCACAAATTTTCTCAACTCAGCACTCTCTCTTGAAGCTATTTTTGGCCATGTATGTAGTTTGTCTCGGAAAGCCTTGGCAATTACAAAGGGTTGGCCATATCTTTCATTGAGCAGGTCCCACGATGCATTGTATGAATCTTCTGAACCAGCCAGAAAATGACCTTCTAAGGCTTCTCTAGCAGCTCCTCCGACATATTTTTGAAGGAAAAAGACTTTCTCTGCTGTTGGAATATTCGTTTTCTCTATTAGTGTCTGAAAGGATGATTTCCAATGATTAAACTTAAGTGGATCTCCACTAAAGACCGAAGGCTCTGGAATGGGTAACCTGTTTGCTGTCATAGCTTCAGCTAAGACCTTCACCAGCTCTCTCATGTCATCTTGGAGTTCACCTCTTGGAGTCACATCTCTGTTTGGTGGTGGATGCTGATCAGCAATAGTCGCTTGATTGATTATCTGCATATCTGTAGCCTCAAAGTTTTGCGGTACAAAGTCTTGGGTTGGATAAAACTCATTTGCATTGTACACTTGAAGCTTTGCTTTAGCCGCATTAAACCTCTTTAGCTCTTCCAAACGCTCAAGCTCTCTTTTCAAATTTTCAACTGACCTTCTTCTTGCAGCATTCTCTTCATGCTGTCTCTTTAACAGAGCAGCCTCTTGTCTCTCTTTTTCTATCTTGCGTTCGATTTCTTCCTTTTCTCTTTGAAGACGGCGAGTTGATGCTGCTGCTTCTTGGTCTGCAACTATCAACTTATCTTCAGCTTCAAGTCTCTGCAGTTCTGCTTGGTGGCTTTCTTGCTCAACCATAATCTTCAATACAGCCTGTGTATGTGCATACTCAGCAGCAGCTTCTTGTCTTTTGGATGAGGATACAGAAGAGTGGATGGAATTAGACTTAGAATTATTGCTCTGAAATGAAACACTGGAGGTTGAAGACACGAATACAGATGAAGCATCAGGCCAAATAATTTCTTCCTCATTTCCTTGAATTTGAGACTGTGCATTCTGTATTACAATTCTTGTGATGGACGCACATCTGTCCAACTTGCGTCTCATGTCATGAGCTGGGCTGTCAACCTTTCTGAATTCATCATAAACACTGTTCAGCTCAGATTCTTCTCTTTGAATGCCTTTAATGTGTTCTTGGATATCACTAGGATCTTGTTTGATTACAGATTTCTTAGTCACCTTGGTCAAAACCTTCCAGTGTTCATAAATACTGTCAAAGCGAAGTGATAATCCTTTCATCTTTTCCTTCTGCAATTCCTTTCCCTTTTCTGTTAATTGTCTATCTCTTTCACTTCTACGAGATCCTGCAGGCTGTACTGCTTGTTGTACTACAATGATAGACTTCTCTGCCACTTGTTCTTTTTCACTTGTTTGTGACATCTTACATTTACTGGGAATTTCTTGTAAACACTTAACATTAGCTGCGAAGTTAACAGCAGAATTTCCCTTTTTTTTTTCTGGTTAATCAAACTAAATTAGGTCAATGTCCTTTGATCAATCCTTCAATTGAAACAAACTTTGTAAAGGCTTGGTGCTTAGAAAATAATAAAAAACTTCACAAAAAAAAACCCTGAAAAATATTGGCTTGCTTAATGTGTACAAATAATTCTCCCTTTTTCAAGTTATCACTTACTTTCTTCAATAGACAAAATAAATAAATTCCCCTTACACAATTTAAACCACAGTTATTATTATTAAGGTTGCACAGTCTCTCTTGTAGTGTTCAAACTTATTGTCACCTTTCAGTACACAAGCTTACGTGACTGACTTATGGACGTCTTAATGAAACACTGAGAAATGCGGGTCCTTAACGGTAAACGTGGGCTTATCTGTGTAACGTTACATCCCGTCTTGCCGAGTTGAGACACATCAGATCCGGGCGAGGCACGAGCAGGTTCGGGAACGTTGACGCAAGTCCGAGCCGGGCACGAGCAGGTTCGGGATCGCTGACGCAGGTCCGAGTTTGACTATCACTCCCTCCAGGAAATAAACGAGACCATGGTTCTGGTTACTGATTACAGTTGTTACAGTTGTCATCTTTCTCTCCTTCGTCACATTCACCATCAAAATCCACCGTCAAACTACAGTATGACAATGCACAAGATAAACACATTCACAAATATTAGAAAGAAGTAAATACAAAAACACTTCGGGAATATGAACATAATACACATACCTCGCTGGCTGCATTTAACCCAGAAGGAATGAGTTCACTTGAAACACCCGGCTCAAAAGGAAAACACAAAAAGCATCTTTACTTTTATCTCAGAAAAACGTGTAAAACTTCTATTCCACACGCAGAGAATAACTTCTGACCAAAGTCCGTTCTTTCCTGTTGCATCTCAAAAAAGCGTCCGTGTGCAACACACCTTAAAATTAACGCACTTTAGTTCCCAGTCAACATAAACACTCAACATTCACGAATAGATTAAGCAAACATAACAAAAAACATGTTCAATAACAGAAATAATATCTATGGCAGTTATAGTGCGGATGAGCCATCGGGACGGACCCGGACGCGCTAACCAGGCATCTGGTACCGACCCAATTGACCCACCCGAACCACCGGCGTACCCGCGGAGGGGCAGTGAGGTGGAAGACAGAGACCCGACTGCAGTGGCAATGTAGCCACCGAAAGCGGGGTCTGGCTGTGGAGCTCACCACCGACTTGCTTCCACTGGGGGGCAGATGGCAGGGAAGGCCCGTGGGCTTTCCGCTGCGGGCTGCCCTGTGGAGAAGGGAGGGGGAGATATGAGGTACAAGGCCCTGCCTCCTCTTGAGCTGGTCTCTGCCCCTCTGGGCCCAGCCGATGCAACCGAGGAAGCGCCGCTCCTGTCGGCTATCTGCAGACTGGGAAGAGGGTAATGGGAGAGATGCTGCTTGGAGACAGCACCCACTGCGATTCTGACCCTCTTGGGTGGAGGAGACTGTGTGCCCGTCAGTCAAACGCCGCATGCAAGTCCTGCAGCAAAGCTGGGTCGGGACCACCTGCCTGCAAGCCATGAAGCGCTCCAACCTGATGGCATCTCCATGCCATGTAGGCATCCCCGGTCAGACCAGAGGAAAACCTACAGGCACGGGAGGGGAGTGAAGGAGCACACTGCCAAGTGGAAGCGGTGTCCGGACACAAGGTTCGGGACCCGGTGGAGGGTTCCACACAAGCCCGACATTCACAGCCGCCCGTTCGAGCATAGCAGCCATCTCAGGGTCCACAAGAAAAACACTGCAATGCCATTGACGTTCCGTCGCTCCATTGGTCTGATTACATACGTGCTTCATGAAGCACAACACAGGGGCTATAGGGACATAGTGTTCGACGCAGCGTCTCGTTTACACAGCGTAACTGAGACGCTTTTATGCTTACCAAGGCTGTATCTATTTGATAAAAAAATACAGTTAAAACAATAATATTGTGAAAAATTATTGCAAGTTAAAGGACAACTCCGGCGCAAAATGAACCTTTGGTCTAATTACACATTGTTACCTAGTCAACCGTTATCTGAGATTTGTTTTCATGATTTCCGAATGTAAATAGTTTTATCTCTAAAAACAGTTTAGCCTATAACGCTAGTATATAGGGCATAGAGTAATGGCAAATAAAAATTGTTGTTATTTTTTACCACTTGTTATTACCACTAACAAGCCTCAAAATAGCCCCACACAAACACGGTAGCATAATATGGGTCACTACATTCAAACCGAAGCATTGAGAACTTTGTCAGTGTCCATACAGTTTAATAAGTAGATATTTTATACACACAGTCAACTTCACGAATACAGAAAGAAGCCATCTTTGAAAAATAGTCTCTACAGTCAATCTACGAACACCGATCCATGTGCGCTGGTGAGATGTGAATAGGGATGGGACGATAACCGGTTTCACGATAAACCGTGATAAAATGTACTGACGGTTAGTATTATCGTTTAAAATTTAATTATCATTAAAACCGTGTTTGATTATCGCGATTTTAATAACTCACTGAATCCTGTCGGCCAGTCTGACGCAGGCGCGCAGCACGCAATATTTTCTTAAATTACTATTCGAGAAGGAATGGCGGAAGGCAGTGACCGTGCTCAGGAGATTTTTCAGCCTTTTAAGAGGACCAAATCTGAGGTGTGGTCATATTTTGGGTTTTACAAAAGTCCTGAGGGAAACTCGATCGAGGATGGTCACCTTGTCTGCCGAACAAAAAGTCACTGCAATAGAAACACTTCAAATCTGCCGAGTCGTCTTGTGTGATCATCACCCGAACTCAAGGCAAGTTAACTTTGACCTTAATACCAAAACTACGTCTGGGAAACAATTGGGCACAAAATGTTGTTTTGAGTTGAAACATTTTATGTCACTCACTTGAAATAGACGTGAAGCTTCCGCGAAGAAAAGTTTGTAGACGAACGAACAACTTCAAACAAGACCATTATTAAGAGTGATATTTTAAGGGATAGTAAAGTATAGATACATCACGTATTAAACCGATTTTATTTATTACGGGGACATATTGAATTGATAAGGAGATTAGCTAATGTTTTAAATCTTACCTGTTTATGAATTCATTTTGTCAAACAATCGTCCAGACAAGATATATCACACCAATATTATCAAACTCTGTAATCAACTCTGATTTCATTTTTGCAATACAATCAAAAACCGGAGACGCAAGACGGCAAGTTGTATTCGAATGAAACAAGAGCGTGCGTCCGTTGTGATATGGATGTGCGCTGTGTAATAATGTGTTGCTATTGACAACGGGCATTATGAAGAAGCAAATGCCATAGAATAGAATCTTGCTTAAAAAACTGCATAGAGAGGCTTGTTTTATTTGTTGTTTGTTGATTTTCAATTATAAAACTTGTTGAAATGTTTTCAGTGTGAGCATCAGTTCTTTTTGAGCACTTTCATAAATTTTTAACAAAACCGTGATAATATTGATAATCACGATTATTTTGGACACTATAATCGTGATATGAAATTTTCATACCGTCCCATCCCTAGATGTGAATAAGGTGATAAGGTGAGCGCGAACAGTAGGCTACGTGTACATATTGAAGAGAAGAAAACGGTTCGTGTTTGTGTTTCTTCCGGAAACAATGGACCATTCTGCACAGTTCAGCGCACCTGGATCGGCGTTCGTAGATCGACTGGTAGAGACTATTTTTCAAAGATGGCTTCTTCCTGTATTCGCTAAGTTTACTGTGTGTATAAAATATCTTCTTATTAAACTGTTTGGACACTGACAAAGTTCTTAATGCTTCGGTTTGAATGTAAGGACCCTTATTATGCTATTGTGTTAGTGTGGGGCTATTTTGAGCCTTGTTAGTGGTAATAACAAGCGATTTTTATTTGTCATTACTCTATGCCCTTTATATTAGCATTATACTAGCGTTATAGACAGCAGAGATAAAACTTTGTTTTTAGAGATAAAACTATTTACATTCAGCAATCATGAAAACAAATCTCAGATAACGGTTGAATAGGTAACAATGTGTAATTAGACAAAAGGTTCATTTTGTGCTGGAGTTGTCCTTTAAAAGAAATCTTCTATTCTGATCTATTCTTTGTCACATGATCCTTCAGAAATCATTCTAATATGCTGATTTGGTGCTCAAACAGAAAATGAATGTGAGGGTTCAACTTGTATAGCAAACACAAACAACACTAATTAATTACAGACAGCTGAAACCAAAAACACAAATGAGGAGCAAGAAAACTGAACAAGGAAGACAAATGAAAACAAACTGAAAATTCCATGACAAATAAAACTAACAAAACACACAAAGATGCTTTAAATTAATCAAACAAATAAAACTAACAAAGTCAAACGCCGCACGCAAGTCAAACGCCGCAGTAACACTATAAAGACATGTATAGTGTTACAAAAGCCTTCTATTTCAAATAAATGCTGTTCTTTTGAGCTTTATAGTCATTAAATAAATAAAAAATATTTATAATCAATGTTGAAAACAGTCAACATATATAGTAATAAGAACCATTATTAATTATTGAGCACCAATAATAATTAATAATAATTGACCACCAGCATATTAGAATTTTTGCGGTTCAGTATTTTTGGCAGGATTATTCAGGATTCCTTAATGAATAGAAAGATCAAAGGAACATCATTCATTTGAAATAAAAATATTTTGTAACATTATAAATGTATTGACTGTCACTTTTAATCTAATATTTAATTTTAATTTTAATTTAATTTAATATTATAATGATTACTGAAGGATTGTGTGAAACTGAAGACTGGAGTAATGGCATGCACGATTATAGGTCTTCCAAAAAGAACTAAATGTTTTTTACTCCTCACAAATGCATTCACAGCATTCCACTTATTTTGTATGTTATTCCCCATATTTTCTTCTCAGGAGTTTAGGAGTTCACAATTCAAAGGTGCGATCCCTCACACTTGATTCATGGGAGCCAGAGTTGCTTAAGGTAAATGTTCATACCATTTTGTTCTTTATTTGTGCAATATGTTCAGCAGTCTTTTCACTTTATGTTTTTTTTTTTTTTCTGTTTCCAGTTGATGTGCAAGCTGGGAAATTGTGTCATTAATCAGATCTATGAAGCTCGTAGAGAAGAGCTGGGTGGAAAGAAACCTCAGCCTGGAGACCCCAGGTATTCCTAGCCACTCCTTATTTTGACTGAAATTTTGATAGATGTGAACCACAAAATAAACACTGCAACAATATTATAGTAATAGTAAAATTGTTGTCCTCTGAGGTCATTTTCAATAAAAGACATGACTAATGACTGGTCCCCATACAGCTGTAACGGACTCAGGCTCGGTTTTGTTTTTGAATTCATTTGCAGAAGTTGTATTGAATTATTGAGTAATAAATCCAAATCAACAGTCAAAGAGATGGTAACAGATACAGCCTCGGTTCACTGAACAAAATAGACAGTCAGGCAAAGTAACCTAATAAATATGATAGCCAAGAAAAAGCCAAAAGGTCATAACAAGAAACTTTGCAAAGTGTTAAAGGAAAACACGTCTCTTTATACCTAAGGAGCATGAAGTAACATCCAGCTCAGTTCAGTTCTCATATAATGGTGTCAATGCAGGCAGATCAATAATATTGTTAAATATTAAGTGTCTCCAACTAAGCAAGCCAAACGGCAAAGGCGACGGTGGCAAGGAGCCCAAAGTCCATGATGGACTTCGCTTTTGGCTTTTGGCTTAGTTGGAGACACTTAATATTTAACAATATTATTGATTAATATTCC